GTGTGTGTGTGTGTGTGTGTGTGTGTGTTCTTACAGGATGCAGGTAAACAGAGTCGTATTTCTCAGACAGAGTGTGTAGTTCACTCTCTGACATCGTCTGGGTCGATTTTATCATGTCCACATAATGTTTCCTAAAAACAACACAGTGGACAGTACAGTCAAAGGACAGTACAGTCAAAGGACAGTACAGTCAGAGGACAGTACAGTCAGAGGACAGTACAGTCAGAGGACAGTACAGTCAGAGGACAGTCGAGGGCAGTTGAGTCATTTAGAGGACAGCAGAATAAATAAATAACTTCCAGGATTATTCTTTTGGACTCACATGTGAGCAAGAAGCAGCTCGTCCTCTGTAGCTTCTCTGGGCTGAAACAACAAGACAGGTGTTAGAACGAAAGACAGTCAGAGACAGACAGAGAGAGAGAGACAGACGGACAGAGAGACAGTCTAACCTCCACTCTGATGCAGTGAGACAGCAGCTCTTGTGTCTCCAGCTCCTTCATGATGGACGTCACTCTGTGTGGACTCTCTACATGACTGACAACAACAACAACAACAACAACAACAACAACAGATCATGTGACAGAGACATTTTGATGTTACATTAATATTTGTTATATATAACACACAGACAGGGGGGGCTTACCTTGGTTCCCACAGGTTCTGATGATGAGTGAAGATTTCAGAATAAACAAGACCAGTTCCACTGACTGAAGATCTGCTGGACAGGTCCTACACACACACACACACACACACACCACACACACACATTAATGTTCAGTATAAACAGTTAAGGACACACACTGTGTTACAGACAGACACACAGTTACAGACAGACAGACAGTTACAGACAGACAGTTACAGACAGACAGGTTGTGTTTACCAGTGTCTGCAGTCTGCTGTTTAGTTCGTCCTCCATCTCCTCTCTGCTTCTCTCCATCCTTCCTCTCCTCTTCATCTCCTTGAAACTCTCTCCTTCTCTCTTTGTCTCCTTTCCTTCATTCTGAACACAAACACACCAACATTCAAACACAAGCAGACGTGAAGAAGAGTGTGTGACACTGAGACGGTGCATGTGTGTCTCACCTGAGGGGACAGACGAGGAGACCTTCGGACTGACTTGATTCCAGATCCTGGAGGATCCGGTTCAGACTTCATCTCTGATCCACCTGAAACAGACACACAAGAAAATGACAAATACGACACACAACATAGAAACGCACAGACACACAGAGACACACAAGACGCTCAGAGACACACAACACACACTGAGATTGTCCTTTAGTGTCCACATCTGTCCCCGAGTGTAAACTACACGTCTGTAAGATCACACTCACGCTCCTGCAGCTGTTTGACAACAACTCATTTATCCTGACACATCTGGAGGCGAGGACAACTGTCAGAGGACAACTGGACACAACCACTGTCCACTGTCATGTTCACGCTCCCTGTCCCCAGTCATGTCCCCAGAGGACCGAGACCGTGTCTTCACAGTGAAGTGTAGCTGAGCCAAAGTGTTGGTCGCGGTGCTGACAGAGCTCTGTCTGTCTCACCTGAGGACATGGAGACATAAGGACAGACACTCACCCACCTTCTCTCTCTCGCTCTCGTTTCTCTTTCTCCGCCAACTGTCCAGCGTCACTGTCGCACACACCACACGTCACAGGGCGCCATCGACTGACGTCACGTACCGCGGAACCAATAGGCAGCTTCGAGAACAAACTCCAAACACTGTTTTAATTATTTATTCATTTCTCTATTTATTCTAACATGTATTATTTTATGTATCATTTATTTACACCAGTGTGTGTTTACATCTTTTCATTGGTTGTGTTGCCTCATGTTTATATTTGTGTTTGTGAGCTATTCAATTAATTAAAAGGTACATGCACATGTGAACTTATATATTATATATGTTTTTATACGTATATTCAAATTAGTGAGTGAATAATATTGCTTTGTTTGAACTGATACTAGTAAACTGAGGTCGTCTCTTATTTATACTGACATAGAACAAGAACATCAGTCAGTTGAGCTCTTGCCTCATTAAATTCATTCAAGTTCCACCAAATCACACACACTCATAAACGTCAGGCCTCTAAATATGTCTGATTCTTTTCTTTAAGGTCCATGAATTATTCTCTGAGAAAATGTCCATCTCATCTTAAATCCTGCATCTACCTCCTGATCCATTGTCTGTTCTTCAAGTTGGTAGTTTTTGATTTCTCACATTTATTTTGTTTATATGAAAAACATAATGACATATGAAAAATTTCCTTATGACAGAAAATCGAATATGAATCATTGGTGCTGACAAACTCACACGTCTGCTGCTGAAACACGATCAATGAATAGATCATACATTTTAATGTTTTAATGAAACATCCGGTTAAACAAAAAGTATAAAAACACTGATATAAAATAATGCAGAATACATGTGAATAAAAAACGTTTTAAAAAAACATTAAAAACATGTCAAAGTTTCAGTTTTGTGTCTTCTGTCTTATCCGGGGATTGTGGGTAGTGTAGTGTTAATACTGTTCGTTAATCGTCATGACGTCTGCCTCACAAAACCGACCGTCACACAACTGAGATCAATGAAATCAGTTTGTTCTAATTACAAGATAATTACCTCATATTTACAAAATCAGCTTCTCAGAATGAAAAGATGGAAATAATCATCTCATAATTACATATTTAAATTTTAGGGATTGTGTTTCTGACGGACGGAAACATCTTGTTCTGATCTGAATGATTAAATCTATCTCAATAATCTGGATCAGATTATTTGGTTTTCATGAGATCGTCTGTGTGTAACTACAACAGAGACGTGAGGTGAGAAAAGACAAAGTGAACGTGCTTCTGAAAAACTCACAGACACATTAAAAACAGACGATACTGAAAAAATCACAAGGACGTTGAGATTAATCTGTCTCCACCGTTCAGTCTCTACTCGTCTGTCTCCACTCGTCCACCTGTCTGTCTTCGCCTGTCTACCGGTCCTTGGCGGAGCGCAGATCGGTGGTGATTGGGTCGTGCTGGATCGTCTGGTGCAGTATCAGAGCCAATAAACCAGCCCGGTTGGTCATGGCCGTCCTCAGGTTCCTCTCCTGCTCGAACAGCTCGTCCAGTTTGTACCACTGACAGAGAGAGAGTGACATCATGTGGTCAGTCGTGGCCGTGACGTCAGCGTCAGTGGTGTTAATACAGTTGTTTTGGTGCGTACCACTCGGACTCTCTCCAGGTCGACCTCAGCTCTGCGCAGTTTCTCCCAGCAGTAATGTTTGTTACACTTCCGCTTAGAAACGCGGCAGAACTCTCCGGTCGGCTCGAAGACGTCTTTCACCAGAGGACAACCACAAACCTCGTCGGCCGGCACCTGATGTGTTGAGAGACAGAATTCTGTGCTCTGATACATAAATCTGTTTCTTAACATGTAGAGGAAGTGTAGCTAACATGTAGAGGAAGTGTAATTAACATGTAGAGGAAGTGTAGCTAACATGTAGAGGAAGTGTAGCTCACATTTAGAGGAAGTGTACCTAACATGTAGAGGAAGTGTAGCTAACATGTAGAGGAAGTGTAATTAACATGTAGAGGAAGTGTAGCTAACATGTAGAGGAAGTGTAATTAACATGTAGAGGAAGTGTAGCTAACATGTAGAGGAAGTGAAGCTAACATGTAGAGGAAGTAAAGCTAACATGTAGAGGAAGTAAAGCTAACATGTAGAGGAAGTGTAGCTCACATGTA